AACAATGTGGAATTTAAACTTGGGCGTCATGGGCTTTGCATGAAATTTATATAAAATCCACAGTATAAAACCCACAATCTGAAATTCACATAGAAATTCACACAAAATTTCCATGAACATTGTGCTTCAGCAGAAAGGACTCTGTTTTTTTTAAATAAAAGTACAATGTGGATCCAGTCACAGGGAGCTCACAGTCTCAACATGAATTTTAATCCCCTTTTACAAGTTTGGGGTGGAGATACAGAGGCTCACCATGAGGGCTTTTAAAAGCAGCCTATGGGACATGTCCCAGCCCTCAGCTGGACTCCTTTTCCCAGGCCTGGGAAGTGTCCAAAGGAGATTGTGGAGCCACTGGTGATCCCTCTAACCAGAGAACAGAGTTGCTTCATTTCTACCCCAAAAGACCACACAGCACCTATACAAACATTTAAAAATGTTAATTATACAATCATTTAAAAACCATTTCAAAGGCAGCTGTCTAAACTAAGCTTTTTCTTACCCTCCTTCTACTGAGTGTAGTCAGTGAGAAGATGCAAGTCCACTTGCACAGGGTGATTCCCCACCAGTGCCACCTTAAAATGGGATTATTCCTGTCTGGAAAGTCTCTCTGTCTGAGCTACAGAGGAAAATTTGCTTTGCTGAGCAGAGCAAATGGGTGAAGAAAAAAAATTAGACATCTGAAGATACACTAATTCAGATTTAATATACAGTTGCATGATTTTGTGTTTCCTCAAAAATCAGCAGCACAGAATAAGGTCTCCCAAGGGATCACCCATCCTTCAAAGGAGAGGAATGAATAAGTGGAATAACTGAATAAGTGGAAGCACTTCTCTGCCCATCCTATAAGATGGACAGAAGCCTTTACCCAGGACCAGCTGCCAAGTTCTGCACCACTTTCTGATATTTGGGGTAAATCCCACAGTGTTCCCCAAATTCCAGCTGCAGGTTGCAGAGCAGACATGGGAAGGCAAGGCAGGATTTGTGCTTTCTGCAAATATCCTTGGGTTGTGCCAGGGGAGGTTTAGATTGGATTATTGGGGTAAATTTCTTCACTGGAAAGGTGGGCAAGCATTGGAAGAGTCTGAACAGAAGAGTGATGGAATCACCACCCCTAAAAGTGTTCAGCAAACATGTGGATGTGGCACTTGGGGACAGGGTTTAGTGGTGGGCTTGGCAGTGCTTGTTTGATATTCTAAGAGGGCTTTTCCAACCTTAATGAATCTGTAATTCTGTTATTGATTATTTTGATTCCAAGACAATCCATTAGCAAGACTGTGGGAATCCAGGGCTCCCCTCTGGCTGCCCTGGAAGGTCTGGGACCCTGGCAGGGGTCAGGAACCCCCCTGGACAGAGCCCCCAGAGACACTGGCTGTGATCTCTGTCCATGGAAAAGAGTTT